TTATATCATTTCAAGAATGAATTTCTTGCCTCTCCCTCCCCATAGTCATACAACATGACAAAAAATGATTTTCGACGCCACAATGTGTGTTAAAGCACCTGAAGAGGTGGCAACCTTTACCCCAATCATACATAGTGCTGTAACCATCCCGACCTCGATAAAAGTAACACAATTTAAACATAATAAAAAGTAAGCGCAACTGAGTATTAACAGCCCCCGCCCGCCTTGCTTCCTCCCTGACCCAATGACTGTGAAGCGCGTTTGTGCTCTGAAGCCTGGGTCTTCGGGGAGCACGTTGGGAAGGGGCACCGCCGTGTCCCATCCCAGGTGACCTGCCAAGCCTCGGCTTGTTGACTTGGTGCCAGGAGCAGTAACGTGATTTAGCCCCGTGGGGTTCGAGGACGACGCATGGCTCTAAGCTGGAAGGACCCTCTGCGGAGCTGGCAGGTCCCCCGTGCTCCCCGCGTCCCTCGAGGCTAGCAGACGCGCCATCCTGTGGTGTTGGCCGCTGTCATGGGCTTCAGTGGCCGTGATGAATGTTTCTACAGTGAATACCAAATTAGCCCAAACTGATTAGAGGCTTTTATACGTTATTAATGGGATGTCACTTCAGCCTGGTCCGCCCCGTGTACGCAACGTCTCACCGAATAATCGCCTCTTGCTGGAAAGATCCATCTTTCTGCCCTCACTGGGTTTGGTGGAGCTGAAGAAACGCTCCCTGCCCCCTCCCCTCCCCCCCGGCCCCCGGACGGGCGAGGGACGGTGCCCTGGGGACAGCTGGGGGGGGGGGGCTGCTGGCGAGCACGGGATGCAGGCCGTGGGGTGATCGGGAAGGTGCGGGAGGGAGCCGGAGCCCCCTGGGATCCTCTGTACATCCCCCCTTTATTGAGACGTAGCTGACAGGGAAGCTTAGGTGCTCGCTGCTGACGCATCCAAGGACGGTTCCAGCCGCGCTGACACCCACACTCTGCACACAGTGGCCGTGTCATGAGTCAGACGAGGACGGATGCCGGGTGAGCCACCAGCAGGTGGAGCCTACGGCAGCAGGCTCAGGGGGCAAGAGTGGGCATCAGAGCAGGAGACACCCTGGTCCTTCCAGCTGGGGGACAAGCAGGCCCCAGGGGTCCCACACCCAGGTCTTTAGACGGCACACGTTCTCTCTGCTCCAGGGGTCAGAGCAGAGAGTGCTGGGGTGCTGTCAGAGCAGGGGCTGCTGTCCCGAAGAATAGCCTCGAGGTGCTGAGGAGCCGCTGACTGCAAGTTAATCGGATTCCCTGACTCTCCCTGGTAAGCGACCCCACCCAGGGGTTGAGACGCAACCTATGAGGCTGTCCACAGCCACTGCAGCATGAGTTCGACCCCACCCACGGCTGCCGGAGAAGTGCCCTGGGCTAGCGACCCGTCGCCAAGGCCACGCCTGCGCAAGTCCAGCTGAAGCCCCTCCTGGCCAGCGCCTGCCCTTAGTCTCTGCATCTGTCCCGCTGTCCCTTTCAGCTCACCGTGCACTCAAGTCTTCCCAGTAGACGCCCGCAACTCCCGGCGAAGCTGTTCCTCTATCCCCACCGGGGAGCAAGCCACCCAACGCGGTCCCCCGCCTCCGAGCTCCTGACCCTGTGGCGAGGACTCGGCCTGACTCCTTCCCGCGGCCCAGCCTGTGGGTCTCTGTGCAGAGGCTTGGGTGGCACGTGGCTCCGAAGGGTGGATGGTTACAACAAGCTTGCCTGCCCCAGGCTGGGCACCCCTCCCTGAGCCTGCACACCCACCCCTGTGCTTGCACACTACTGGGAAGCTGCGCCCAGGTGTGCCTGGGCACACTGGCCGTGGCTGTGCCTGCCACGTGGGTCTGCTTAGTACCTGCCTGCAGCAGAGGCGACGTCGGGCACGAGAGGCCAGGTCCAGGCAGACAGTCTCGCCATGTTCTGGCCCAGCAGAGACACACGAGGGGGCGTCACTAAAGATTCCAGGAGACAGAGCCTCCGAGGCATCCTCACTTGGGGCAGGGAGGGACTGTGCTGTCCCCTAACCCTAACCCTTCCGGGCACAGCAGGCTGGGTGGACCTGGGGCTCAGGCTCCCAGGGGGCTGAGGCCCAGCCACAGGGCACGGGCTCCCCAGCCAGGGGTCAGCAGACCACTCCCTGCACCCTAAACACCCACTTTTTGAATAAAGTTCGGAACAGCTGTGTCCGCACTGCAGCCAAGCGGCTGGCCAGGCCAGACTGGGTCTGGAGCTCTGAGGACCCGGCGTTGACAGCGCCCCCATGTGTGGATGCGGCCCTAATGGCGAGTTACGTCCTCCCTCTGCCAGGTACAAGCCGGGTCTGTAAAACCCCCACGGTCCCGAGAAGGGCAAAGCTGCAAAGATCCCACGAGGGCAGGCGTAGCAGCCCCTGGACTCTCCCCCTTCAGCAGGAGGCAGCGCAGCCCTGACCTTTCGTCCGACCGAATGTACTCAGAGATTCCGCTGTTTGCCTCTGTCCACATGACTCTGCTTAAGAGGCTGAGGACCACAAGGGTATCGTGGCCGATGATTGCTCAATCCGCCACGCATCCGTGTCTGAACTGCACCCACGGGGAGCGCCAGCTCTGCACTAGGCGACCCCAGCACCCAGGAAAAGCCATGCGTCTTCAGCCCCACGGTCGCTGGCGGGAGAGATCAGCGGGACAAAGGTGGTGGCCGGCTGGGGCTCCCCGCGGGGGACGGGTCGGGGTGCTGTCTCAGAGGCCTGGCGCCCACTTACTTGTTGCCAGTTATTCTTTAAGAGGTTTAACCGACATCACTGTTGCTGCCTTGCCCTCCCCCGCGTAAGAAGCCTGCAGGGGCTAGTCGATTGTCCAGGAGGCGCCCCAGGTTCTGGTCAGGCGCAGGCTGCGTCCGTCCACTGTCCGGTGGGCCACTGGAGACCCACCGGTCTCAGATCTGGCCGTGGCTCTAGCGTGTGCATGCGCAGGCCCCGGCTCCTTTGGCCACAGCGGGTGGCTCCGCCCAGGAGGCCTCACACCCTCGGTGACGTGCCTGCCTCTTCCGCGTGACGCAGGTGTGGCTGTTGTGGGTGACAAGTACTCGGCCACAGGAGAGGGGCAGCTGGTCTGGGGAGAGGCCTTGCCGCGGTCAGGCCCCAGCGCCCTGGCGACGGTAGGACAGGGAAGCCACCCTGGGCTGCTCAGGGTGCGGGCTCCGGGCAGTGGCCGCTGCGGGGGCAGGGAGCCCTCCGCAGAGACACAGGGTCACTTTCTTGGGGTGACCTGGTGGCCACGGGAAAGATCTGCTTCCAGAAACATCTGCAATCACGGGTTTTCACCGGGATTTAAAGGCAACTTAGAAATTCACACGGTTCTGGCACACCCAGGTCTTCGCCGCCGCCTGTGAATCGCAGTTTTCCTCATTAACACCTTGGAGGATGAGGAACTGCACCTCTCGCTGTCTCTGGGCTGCTGGGTTGGCGCCTCCCGCCCAGCCAGCTGGCACCGGCCCCGACTCCAACTGTGATCCGTCCCAGGCAGTTTTCAAAATCGCGGCCGGCCGGCTTTCGCCTGCGGGGCACTTGAGTATCAGCTACACCAGCCACGGCGCGGCGGCCGCTGCTGCTCGGGTCAGAGGCCGGCGCGGAATTTAACACGCAGCCAAGAAAGCCTCATCGCCCTGCCGGGGAAAGGAAGACGCCACCAACTCCCACCAGAGACGGCGCGTCCAAAATAATCTCACCCCGAGCTTTCTGAAATGATCATTTTTCTGTGCTATTTCAGGAAGGAGCTTTGCAGATGCAGCTTTGCTTAATCGGCTTAGAGAAGCCGGGAGCAGCTGCGGATGTCGGCCGGGCGAGGCGGCGTCCTGAGTCCAGCCACTGCCACCCGGTTCCAGACAAACGCCGGCGTGGACTGGACCTGAGAGCTGGTCTGTCCGAGGCTGTGGGTCACAGGCGCTGGCCGGCCCAGCTGCCTCGGAAGGAGCTGTCCAAGCTCAGCCTTTCTCGAAGCCGGGACTGCAGCCCTCCCTTGACCGCCGGCCGGAGCCCTCCTTCCGAGGCCCTGCTTGCCCTGCAGCTCCCCAGGCACCCCGGCGCTCCCCTTCCATCTCCCGCACACGGTGGTGTGGACCGCGGGCTGCGCTAGCGTGAGCCGTCTGCGGACGACGCTGCTTGCAGGGCCCCACGCCCCACGGCAGCAACGTGACGACCCCTGTGAAACCCCCAAAGAGGCAGCACTCCAAGAGCAAAACGAAGGCGACCCCGTGATGCTATGGTTCTGGTTGTGGGGCCCCCCGCCGCCCTCGTTCTTGGGGTATTGGTGCCCAGAGTTTCTGCTGGTCTAGCTAAAATGTAGAGCCAGGCAGGGGGTTCTCATCAGGACAAAAGCCCTGGCCTGAGGGACATGCTGGGAAGCCAGTGTCTGCTGGAGACCGCGGGCGGACGCTATGGCCAGTGAGCGTCACCGCCCGGCCACCTGGCCAGGCAGCGGCCGAGCAGGAGCTGGAGAGAGGATCTTTCAGCAGCAGGAACAATGACGCCCCAGGCAACAGCCCCCACTCACTACCCCGTAGCTTGGCCAGACCCCAAGCACCCCCAACCCTCTCCCCACCAGTCCCTCCTCTTCCTCCTCGCACTTGCCCACCTGATCCCCAGTACATGGGAGGCTGCGCTCGGGAAGTTGCTGCCCCCCTGGGGTGTGCGCCCCTCTCGGGCACTCTCTCTCTTTGGTCTCCGAGTTTCCCTTCTCTGCCTCCTGCCCTTTCTACGCTGCCGCCGCGAGGCGACATCTGGTCACTCCCTTGGTCTTCCCAGGAGGCTGACCGCGCGGCCAGCCTGACCCCACATCGCACCCGTCCAGGCCACCGAGCCAAACACGCACAGGCCAAGTGGGGTGACGCTTGCTGGTGAGGGGGTGCCCAGGGCCTGGCTATGTCCTGTGTGCTCGCCCAGAGGCAGTCCCCGTGCACACGTGCAGGCCGAGGACAGGAGGCCTCTCCAGATGCGCGAGCCAACCTCATCCCAACCCCGCTCACCAGCTGCTGGCCTTTGGGGCCCCATCCTGCGTACTGCAGCTTCGCGTTGCTGACTTCTGGGGGGTCGAGACTTTGAGGATCCCTGCAAGAAACAGAAAAGCAAAATGGTGGGAAACAAGAATTAAACGTGGTGTCGTTTCATCCACCAGCTGCAACTCACAGTCTCGGGAACGTGTGTTATTAGCTACGAGGCCCAGTCAGCGCCCGTCAGAGGCTCGTCACTTACAAGAAGCTGCAACAGGCCCATCGCCGTGAACCCACACCATAAACGGCAGCGGGACAGAGCGTCTCGATCCATTTTTTAATGTCCAGGACAGGGGCCTCCCTGAGGGCGCAGGGGTTAAGTATCAGCGCTAGGAAGCTGCCCACAGCCTCTGCAGCACGAGTTTGACCCAACAGGAGGTGACCCACAGGGCGCAGCTGACCTGTCCTGTCTCCCCACTGCTCCCCTCAAATCTCAGTGGATCCTCCTATTCTGCCCCCCACTGTCTCTGGGGAGTCCTCTCACCCCCGCACCTCTGGCCAACACCCCAGCTCTTATATGCACAAATAAATAAATCTTTTTAAAAAAGGTAATAAAATGCCCAGGACCGCCAGGGTCAGGGACGGGAGCGCTGTGCAGGCGTCCGTCGCGGCCTCGGCTTCTTGGCAGCGGGTCCTTCTGAGCACAAGGACTCTGTGACCTTCCCACACCAGCACCCTGGACTGAGTCCAGGCTTCTGCTGGTGTGGACGGAGGCGCCTCCCGGAGGGCGCGAGGAAGGGAGAGAGCGGCAGGCGGGGGGGGGGGGGGGGCGGTGGAATTTTCCCCTTTCAAATCATCTACATTTCTCATCATTTACTGGCGGGCAGGACACCCGGCTACGCGCTCGAGGTCGTCATGATTGAAGTCATCGTGAGGACACGGAGGAAGCGAACGCTTTGCTGGGCACTGAGCGTGTCGCGTGTCTCGTCGCCGCGGCTGTCTGCGTGTGCAGAGACCCACGTCCACGCCTCCTCAGTGACACCCACGTCCACCGTGAGACTCGCACCCGCTCGGGCTGCCGGCGCCCACGCACGCCCGGACGCGCGTCTCACCCATTCACCTCGGAGCGCCTGCGGCTCAGGGGCTTTGGGAGAGGCAGCGCTGGATTTCAGGAGTTGCTGGGAAAAGGTGGTGAGGCGGGGGTGTGGGGGGGGAGTGTGGGAGACACGTCTGACCCCGGTCTTAGAGCTGCAGGAAATTCTAAGGTCACTGCCTGATAACACTCCCGGGGCAACGTGGGCCCCCGCAAGAGGAAGGGGCCTCAGGGAGGGCGCGGCAGCCTGGAGGCAGCTTTGGCTGGTGTTCCGGGTCTGGAGGACGCAGAGGCCTGGGCAGGTGACGTGGCGGCCATGAAGGAAGCTTCTGGAAGGGCGCGCCGCTGGGCAGCAGAAGACAAACAGGACTCAACGCCCAGGTCCCTACCGCTGCTGCACTCACTGTTCAGAGCACCCTGTGATGTGGACGACGCCTCCTTAGCCCGTGGGAGAGGCCGCAGAGACATAAGCGGATGAAATCAGCAGATTTTAAAACCTTTGCATGACAAAACATCACAAGCGCAAGGCGACGGACAAAGGGGGATCGCCAGGAGTCTGACAAAGGACGACATCCCGCACACACATGTGCACACACACACGCACACACACCCATGTCCTTGCTCTGTTCGCCCAGGGGCTGAAGCCAAGGCCCTGTAGCCCTGAGACACTCGGAGCTCCTGGGGGTGCCTGGTCCCCCAGCCCCGCCCTGCAGCAGGGTAACAGCGCTGGGAGGGGGCGGCTATGCCAGGCCGGCCCTGTGGTGAGGGGAGCCCCGGTCTGCAGCGAGGGGTGAGGACACGCCCAATGCAGGGCAGGAGCAGACGCTTCAGACGAGATGCTGGTGGTACGGCGCTGGCAGGTGGGAGCTCCCAGAGAACTGGGTTCTGGGTCAGCCCCCGCTCTCCCCAGGGACCCGGTCACCACGAGGGAAAGCTGCGGTCTGCAGGGGGAGCACCGACAGCCACTCGGCCGGTGCCCAAGGCCGCGGCATCACAGGGTCACCCGGACCGCGTGTGGTCTGTGGCCAGACTCGGCCAGACTCGGCCAGACTCGGTCATCAGGAACCCAAACCAACCCTCGCTTGACACGGGTGCCAAGGTGCTGGCTCTCCGGGGTTCCCGGTGGCCGGGGGGAGCACAGACGGAAGGTCAGGCCTGCAGCCAGACAGCAGCCACGGGCCGGGGGAGGGGAGCAGCTCAGGGGACCTGCCGTTGGCAGAAACTTGGTAAAATTCAAACCAGGTCTGTGGCTGAACTGAACGAATAACTGAGCAAGGTAATTTCCTGCTCTTGAGAGTCCCGGGGCTGAGATCGCCGCAGGACTGAGGGAGGATGCCAGGGCATCTCTGCGGTGCCTGCGGCAGTTCTTCGTCCAAAATCACTTCCGAATAAATGGGTAAAAAAAATCCAAAGAACTCGAGCAGCTTTGTCCTCGTTATATGAATCACTGCAGGGAGGTGGGTCACGTCCTCCCATCACCGCGCCCTGGCCAGCTCTGAGCACACGCCCGGCCTGGCCAGGGTGCCGGTGGCGCCAGGAGGGGACCTGAGATGAAAGACCAGCAGGGGCTCGCCTGGCTGGACCTGACGTGCCCTTCGGGCAGGGGCAGAGATCAGGGAGAAATGTTTAGGCTCTGCTGCTGCGCTGACCGCTGGACCGGCGTGTTGGAGACCCCAGCAGGTGTCTAGATTCAGGGGTTTGGGGGTCCTGCCTCTCTGGAATCTGGCAAGTGTCTCTCTCATAAACCTGAGGCCAGGGCGGGGGCAGGGCGGGCCTCCATGTGCGAGAGCCTGGGCAGAAGGCGGCCCCAGGGCCCAGAGGCCAGGTGGCCATGCTCCAGGTCATGTCCTGGGTGGGCCCAGGTAGGGAGGCCACAGGAGTGTGAGTCGAGTCCTGCTCCCTCCCTGCTCCCCCATCAGGCTAGTGCTAGAGCACACCTGCCCACCAGCCACCCCCTGCCTGCCAGCCCCCCGTCCTGTGTCCACCAGCACCCCCCGCCCCCTGCCCCTGCCCGCCAGCTCTCCCCTGCCTGCCAGCCCTCACTGCCCCCCAGCTCCGTGATGCTCTGTGCAGCACCAAGCCTGAGCTCACTGTGGCGAGCGGCTCTGATCCTGGACAGGGCTGTTCTGAGATGACCAGGTGTATTGGGGGGACGTGCGACCATTTATATTTATTTGGAGTTGCTGAGTGTGCCCTCCCCACCCAATTTTTCTGTCTTCTTATTTATTCATTTGTCTAAACAACACACAGCAGATGCGTGATGAGTCATGTCCAGGTTGAAAATAGATTGGTAAGAATATGATTAAGGAAAAATAAAACTGTCTGGACTTGCTGTGTCTCAACGTAATCGCACGATCCATTCTGATTTTGCTTATTTGAGGAGAAAATGCAACAGGGTGGAAATCATGTTAAATTCTGAAGAGTAAATTAGTGCAGCAAAGTTTGCTCATTTATCTTCCTGAGCCAGTTGATGGGATTGAAAAGGTCCCCAATAAATCAGCATTTGGAAAAGAAAAGCTGAAAATTGCTTTTCTGGATCCTAAACTTTCATGGCTAAAGACATTAAAATAGCATCAAGCAAATAATACGCGGGCCAGGGGAGGGGCGTGGCCAGAGAGCCCCTCCGGGCAGCCCCTGGAGCCACTGGCCGCTCCCACCAGGGCTGGAGTGTGCGTGGGTGTGGCTGGAGGAGGTGCCCGGCGCTGGCCTTCCAGGCTCCCGGGGGCTTCCGGCCCAACGTGCTGCTGGTGAGAATGCCAGGGCTTTGGGGCCCGGCACCGTGACCCCTACAGGCCTGTCCCCCCCAACCCCACCTGCCGGACGGAGAAGCAGAGGCCAGGCCGAGGTCAGGAGGGTGTTTCACGCAGGGTCTGATGGCTCAGAGGGTTAGCATGAGCCATCAGGAAACGGCTGCTGGGCGGGCGGGTTCGGTGCGTGCCCAGGAGCTCGGGGCTGGGAGCTGGGCTGGATGACCTCTCCGTGGCCCCATCCGGAGCAGGGCCAGCGGCTGAGGCAGGTGCAACCGACCCCGGCGCTCCCTGTGGGAGCCCACGCAGCCTGGCCCGGCGACTCGGGCTCCGGGGAGCAGGATCAGGCTGGCCCTGACCGTTGCAGGAGCTGAGGCTGAGCGTAGGTTCCTGATCCCCGGCAGCGGGTGGAGGGGACGGGCAAGGAGCTAGAGCTGCCGACTCCGGGGCGGTCTGGGCGTCCCTGAGCAGCTTCTGCAGCTCCCACACGCTTCTGTCTGCACCAGCTTCGCCCAGCCTGTCTGGGGGCCCCGGCACCGGCATTTTACCCTTTTACATGTGACATAGCCGTGCCCAGAGGAGCAAGTGTCGCCTGCAGTTACGCAGCTAGAGAAACCAAGGGGCAAACCCCAGATCCGCTGCGCCCCAGAGCCGTGCCCTTCGGTTATGCTGGCTAGGGCCGCAGCAGGGAGGATGGCACGGCTCAGCAGGCCCACGAGGAGATCCAGGAGCTGCCCTCAGACCAGATGCGGCCCCTGACGGCACGGACACAGGGAGGCGGAGCGGCCGGCGCGCTCCAGAGCACCCGCTCCACGCAGCCCGCCTCGGCCGGCCGGCTCCTCTGCAGGGGGAAACAGCCCATTTGTGAGGATCCCAGGGTTTCTGTGTGTGGGTCCAGGGCAGGTGCCTGGGATTTGGGCAAGAAAAGAAAGCCTGGAAAGGGGATGCGTGAAGGAGTCTCCTCCTCTCTAGGCTCAGCTCCTCACTGGACAAAGCCCGCAAGGATTTCACTCTAGGGACAGACTACAAGCGCCTGAAACCCGTCTTCCTCCCGGGAGCCCGCCAGCCGCCCTTCCGCATGGTGATGGGGCGCTGCACGGCCGGGGCCCAGGCCCATCTTCATCACTCCCCCAGCCTCGCGGCCGGCCCAGGCCCCCACCCGCTTCTTCCTGTCTCCCCTCATCACAAGCACACGCCTCCGTCAAGCCTCCATGTCCGTCTCCCTTCTGCTTGGCGTGCTACTGTAGACTCCACACCACGGTGGTGCTCAGCACCCCGACACTCCAGGCACACCCCCAAATCCACCAGACCCCTCTCTGCCCTTGCTGGGTCCTGGGTGAGCACCCCCAGCCTGGCTGGGCTCCCCACTCTTTCTGGGACGATCTCGGCTCGCTGTGAAGGTCGAGCCTGCTCGTGATTCATCCTGCCCGGACAACCTCTCCATCTCCACCTCTTCTCAGGACGCCCTCGGTCGTCAGGCTCAGCTGGAGCCCGATTTCCTTTACGGAGCCTCCAGGACGTCCCGGGCCCACAGCGCTCTGGCCTGCGGCGTCCGCGGCTTCCGTCGGGCACTGATTTCTATGTTGTGGCGCGAGCCTGGGGAAGGGTCTTTCCTCTTCAACAAGGTTTTGCACTTTTTAAGGACGCAGCCGCTCGCCTGGCTCAGTAGGGAGCATTTTAATAACATTTGCTGTTTACCTTTCCTGCTTCCGTTGGCGGCAAAGCCAGACTGTCTAAAACAGGAGTTGAGGAGGAGGAAAAATACTGAGATGGAGGAAAAATAATTTGCTGGTCAATGCGAATTGCCAGTAGCAGAGGCCGTCCTTAGTTCTCTTAAGAGGGAAATTAAAACCACAGGGAGTGTCGGGAAATAAGCCCTGAGTCTGCAGGAGCACGTGGCTCCCCTCCCGGCAACAGGCAACAGGAGGATCTGAACAGCTAGAAGGGGCGCCTCCTACCGCTGAATTAAGAGACCACACCCACCCACACCCACACCCACACCCACACCCACACCCACACACACACACACACACACACACACACACGTCGGCACAACTGCGATATCAAGAGAGACGCGCCCCCTCTCCCGAGCACGTCCCCTGTGCGTGTCTGCACACGTCACCCGCTGATTCTCTCCCCGAGTCTACGGGGTGGAGACTGTTCTTATCATCTTTTAGAAAAATACAGAAACGAGAGGACACGGAACGCCATCGCTCCCCAAGTCACACCGCCAGAGGGGGACGGGGTCCGTCCGGGGTCCGTCCGGGGTCCTGCGCCCCGCGTCTCACTCCTCGCCCGGCCTCGCATACTCGCCGGCTTCCTCGCACACCTGAGGCGGCCCCGGGGAAAGGTGAGCGCCATCCGCCGGGTCCTTCCGTTTGTCACAAGTCCCTGCCTCAGCTTCCAGCGGAATGAGTCCTCGGGAGAGAAACAGACGTCCAGCGCCAACCCCTGCCCTCCGCGGCCCCGGTGTGAGCGACGGGGCTCTGAGGCGCGGGCTGAGCACCAGCCGGGCTGGGGGCTCCTGCGGCCTCACCGCGTCTCGGGACGGGCGCCTTCCTCGCACTTCCTCGCGGCGTGCGCTGGGGCCGGGGCGCTCGGGCCAGGCAGCAAGTGGCGAGAGCTGCTAGGATTCCTCCAGCCTCCTGCCAGCAGCTCCCTATGCTTTGACCACCTGTGGGGACCCGGCCCTCGGGCGCTGAGGTGCGGCCTCGTCCTCACGGCCTCTCAGGCTGGCAGCCGCCTTGCCAAAGTGCCGAGCCAGGTTCTCAGGATCTATTTCTCCTCAACGCCTTCTGCGCCAGTGAAATACTAACACGTGGCCCAAACGGCTGAGCCCAAAATCCGTTCAGCGTGCTGAGTTTCACACATTTATATAAGATGGCATGAAATGCCCGTCACCCACAGTACACGCTATCGCTCCCAAGGGGCAGGCAAATCCCAAGGGGTTGCCCTGCATGGCCGTCGAAGACGTGCACCTGCCGGGGCAGTGACAGAAGAATCCCCCTGAGAGGAAAACACTTGCGTTGCTAGCCCAGGTCTGCCGTAAGTGCAAACGGCCTCTGGGACACGACCCCGATGGCGCGGGTCACCCTCCGTCTCTGTGGGGCGGTTCCCGACGTCTGCGGATGCCTCAGTCTCAGCAGTTGCAGAGCCTCTGGCGTCCTCCCTTCGTCTGAGCCCCAGTGCAGTGATTTCCCCGGGGACCCTCGTGGACCTCGGCTGGGTGGGCATAAACACAGCAGTGGCCACGCTCCCCGGACGCACGTCCAGCAAACTCTGCTGCTGCTGCCGCTTACTTGGGCAGTCAGGACCCTCCTCTAGCTGGTCTCGGGGACCCACGCAACAGGCCGGCAGGACAGTCCAGTTCCTCTGGATGTGTCCTGAGCACCTCACCTTTCCAAAGTATTGTCAAAGGAACCACAGGGGGGCGGGGGACGCAGAAGGGGAGGGCTGGACCGGAAGGCCGTGGGGGCCGGCGGCTAAGGGAGGGCAGGGAGGAGGCGGAGGGGCAGGCGGGAGGAAGGGGGGACCCGTCAGCCACTGCCCCGCCCCTTCCCAGCTCTGCAGCTGTTCCCAGCTGTGTCCACCTCAGGCTCCACTAAACCTGAGCCAGCGGCTGCCCCCCTGGGCTTTGAAGACGCGCCCTGCACAGCACAGCCCGGCCCGTGGGGCGCGTCCCCGGCACCCAGAGCCTGACAAAGTCACTCGCTCTCATGCCCTTCCTTCCCACGCACGCGCTCAGGGCTCGGCGCTCGCGTCCTGAGAGACCAGGTGAGCGCAGGGGTGGATGGGGTGGCCAGGAGCCCTCCTGGCACCTTCAATGGGGTCCCCATGCCTGAGTCAGGAAGACCCCGCCCGGCGAGACCCAGAAGGGGCCCTGGGGAGCAGACGGGGTGGCCGCGCCGTCCACAAGGAAGGCGCACAGTGGGCGGGTCACCGGCTTGGGGGGCCCCTCGGCCTGATGTGGTTCCCCGGGGGACGAACCCAGGGGCCTCGCTGTCAGAGCCCTTCCTGGCAAAGTCCAGGAGTCCGTGTGCTGCCCCAGAGGCCACCCTCCAGGCGTCCTTGCAGATTTCTAGTGAAAAGAAAAGGAGGCGGCAGTCTTACCCATGCGGGATTTTGCTGAGGACGTAGTACCCGGTGTAGGAGTGCCGGTAGATCTGCAACAGACAGAAGGCAGGCGTGAGACGCAGGCTGTGACGATCGTACTTTTCAAGTCACCGTGACCCCCCGCCCCAAGCCCCAGGGGCCGGTGGCTCGTCAGGAACCCGGGGCAAAATCATCCCCTGACCGAGGCTGCCTGGCACCCCCCGTCTAGCTTATTCTCATCACCCACAGGTTGGCAGCCGGAGGCTGGACGTCCCCTCACGGGTCTCCGCTTTGTGATTAAGCCACTGATTTCAGCTTCACTAACAAGGACCCCCGGGGCACCGGGGCCGGCCAGCTGAGCCCAGCAGGGCTGTGGGACCCATGTTCTGTGAGCGCTGGCCAAGATCAGGGGTGTCCTCAGGGAGCTGCAAAGCCAGGCCAGGGCCCACTGGGCCAGCGCCCGTCCCTGTGCAACCTGCTGTGCATCTGTCAGCTCCAGGGAGAGCGGCTAAGACTAAGCGCTCACGGCAAGGGAGAAGCGCGGCGCCCGAATTTTAGGTTGGCACCACCATACACGCGCGTGCGAGCACACACACACACACACAGAAACTCCCGTGGTGGCATCTGACTGAGGCAATCAGGGACGCACACTGTCAAGGGGACCCCACTGTCTGAGCGGGTCCAGCCGGCGGCGGGCACGGGCGGAGGACGCGGACCTGCGCGTGGCAGACTTCCAACAGCGAGAGACGAGGGGAGGAAACGCCTCATAATGGCTTCGCCATGGCGCTGCCACCAAGGCCCCAAACTTGCCACAAGTCTAAGGTACCATTTGAGGGGACGACAGAAAGGGGTTAGGCGGGTCCCAGAGACCTGCACGGAAGGGGAGACTCAGATCCAGAGTAGAGCAGGCCGTCACCCCGGCCGGACCGCGGCTGCCGTCGAGCCAGTGAGGAGCAGAGCAGCCCTACGTCCCCCACCACGTCCCCCACCCACGTCCCCCACCACGTCCCCCACCCACGTCCCCCACCACGTCCCGCACCACGTCCCCCACCCACGTCCCGCACCACGTCCCCCACCACGTCCCCCACCACGTCCCCCACCACGTCCCCCACCCACGCCCCCCACCCACATCACCCACCACATCCCCCACCCACGTCCCCCACCCACGTCCCCCACCCACATCCTGCACCCACGTCCCCCACCACATCCCCCACCCACGTCCCCCACCCACGTCCCCACCCACATCCTGCACCCACATCCCCCACCACATCCCCCACCCACATCCCCCACCACATCCCCCACCCACGCCCCCCACCCCCACCCCCACCCCTTCCCCCCACCCACGTCCCCCACCCACATCCCGCACCCATGTCCCCCACCCATGCCCCCCACCCACGTCCCCCACCCACATCCCCCACCATGTCCCCCACCCACGTCCCCTACACATCCCCCACCCACGTCCCCCACCCAGGTGTCTCTGCCAAAGTCTCCGTATGTCTCTCCTCCACATGGCTCCTCCACGCCCCCTTCCTAGTAGTGCCGGGGTGCACATCAGGCCACAGAAGCAAGAGGGGTGCCCTCTGCCTGTCACGTGACACGAGGGCTGCCCAGCTGCCCTGGCTAGGAAGCCTGCCTCGCGGCGCACTGGGGTTTCTAACCCACGCAGGGGGCTGCGGTAAAGGATTTCTCTGTAGGGTTGCCGGAGACCCACGTTCCACCCCGACCACCACCTCTGCCTGAGACTCTCCTGAGGGTCAGCACCCTGGCGAGTCAGTGCCCAGTGACTGGTGTGACCCCCCCCCCACTTCCTGGGGGAGCAGCAAGAGGGCAAAGCTTCGGGCACAGTCTGTGGGCGGAAGGGCTCCTGTGCTGCCACCTGCAGGGAAGTCGGGCTCCATGGCTCCCTGATGACAGAGGACCCTGGGCACCAGCTGGGCACGTCTGCTGGGCACTGTCCAGCTCTGCAGGGCTCCTCCAGCAGCAGCTACTGGCTGGGCCAGGCCAGCCGAGGATGGCAGCCCCTCCGTCGAGACCGATGACATTCCAACGTCACCGACACGCTCTTCCTTCCGACGTGAGCCGGGGCCCGAGTCCTGCGGGACGGGTCAGCACCGCCGTCTCTTGTGGGCTGTGTCCTGGGCTCGTGTCCTTAGAGGATCTAACAGACTCTTCGTCTACCATCGAGACTTTCTCTGCAGCCAACACCAAGACGTGAGACTGTGCAGAGACACGGGGCGAGCGCGTGCAGCCACGGAGACAGCCCTTGGCCCTGCAGCAGGCGCACCGGGGCGTGCGCTGGACGCGAGCGGCAGGACGAAACAGCGGACTCTGCTTGAGTGCGCTGCCCCCCGCCCGCCTGGGCCCTCGTGGGGACTTGTTGGAACTGCGTGTGCAGTTTTCTGGAGAAAAAGCACCCAGATGCAGAAACAAGCAACGGCGCTCATGCCCCAGCCCCCCTGCGCTCCCAGGGGCCCGACGAGTCCTTAACCCCAAGTCTGGGCCAGCGCGGCCGTGGCAGGGCAGGGAGTTGGCACCCGAGGGGGGACGTAATCCAAATACTGCCTTTGTTTGGAGACATAGCCGCCGAGGAACAAATCACGAGGGAGAACTTCATGAAGCTGCAAGGCCACCCAGCAGGGAGCCGATGTGGGTGTCTCCAGTACTCGTGAAGTGGCGCCCGCGGAGGGCTGGGCCCAGCCGAGCTCCACCCGAGTGGTCCCTGTGGGAGGCCATCTGTGGACACCCGGGCTGTGGACACCCGGGCTGTGGACACCCGGGCTGTGGACACCTGGGCCGTGGACACCCGGGCTGTGGGGTGCCGCGGCCGGAAGGCCTTCCTCGGGCGGGGCAGGAGCTGGCTGGGCCCTCGCTCCACATCTCGTGCCTGCTATGGGGGTTCCGAGCTCTTCCCCAGAGACATCTTTGTGCTGTCCCCCACTTTACGCTCCACAGTAGCTCAGGCAGACCGAACCCCGTTGCTAAGACAGGAAACTGGCCCAGCGAGGCTGAGGGGGAGAGCTGGGCGGGCAGAGGCGGGTCGGGGTGGAGAAGCCTGACTCGCTGGGGCTGGGGCTGGCTGCGCTGGGCTTCCGGCCGCAGGGCTGGGAAGGGGCTTCCTTCCCGTGCGCTTCAGCCCGCGGGTCCGGGCGAGGGCTGCCGGGTCCTGCGTCCTGCGGGTGCTCAGGCTCGCTGGGAGGGCCCGGGAGGTGGGGCCAAGGCTCCCCCCACCAGCTTGACGACTGCCAGGTGGGCACCATGGGCTCTTAGCAACAGCCAGGAAGGACAGTCCTCATCGCCCGCCTGGCCTCTGATGCTCCGCCCAGCCCCACGGGATGGCAGCTCCGGAGAGGTCACGGCCACTGGGCACAGCGGGCCCAGCCCCGGCCCACGGGCAGCGGGAGGCAGTCGGCATCGGCCGTCCTCACTGTACATCGGGCAGTTTTCGTAAACCCAGCAACAGGCAAATAATATATCCAGGTTCAATCCAGAGGAAAGCGAGAACTACCTTTAAATCACAGGCAGAGACGTCCTCGGAGTGACTGGGCTCCTCCCTACAACTTCCAGCAGCTTCCCAGACACAGACGGTTCTTCATCAAAGCAGTCAGGGCAGCAGAGGTGAGAGGCCGGGGGACACGCACCCCTCTGCACTTTGGAGAAGCCCTTGGGGTGCAGTGGGAGCCCCTGCAGCGCTGGCGGTGGCGGGTGAAGCGGGGAGGCTGGTGGAGGTGGGCAGGTGGGGGGCTGGGTGCCGCCCCTTCGCGCGAGGGGCCGCTCCGTCTCCCCAGGTAGGTGCGATCATCTGTTTTTAGGCCGGGAGCGTAAGTCACCCCCAAGCAGGACCCGGCCTGAGCTTGCCACCCTCTAATCACCGCCCCGGGAATTGCTTCAGCCGAGGGTGTGTGTCTCTTACTCCCAGTGACGCGAGCCAGTTGACCGCTGGGAGCTGGGCAGCGGCTCTCGCTGGGGATGGCGACTTGGTCTTTGCTGGGATGAAATCCTGTTTCCTGAGTCCACCTGGAAACGGCGACTTCAATCCGTTGCCTGGATGGGTCACCCCACACGACAGCAGGCTCCCCTGTCCGCCTCTTCACACACAGCCCTCCGGGGGCCTGTGTGGGTGTCTTCTGAGCGGAGCCGAGGAGGAAGAGCAAGACCAAGCTGAAGGGGCCGCGTGAGGGCAGCAGCGAGCAGAGGTGGACGGGAGGACAGCGGCCCCAGTCTGCGGCTGCTGGCAGGTGACACACTCGGGGCGGGTGCCTGTGCGCGGGGGTGTCATCACGCCTGGAGAACAGAACAGCTCGCTGGGGAGCCCAGCAGACCGGGAGCCAGACGTGGAGGGTCCGAGGCGCTGGGCCTGCCGGGGTGTGTGAGCGCCAGGGGCAGAGCGGACCGGCCAGGGAGGAGCCTCTACGACGCCAGGGCCGCCCTGGGCCGCGCGAGCAAGAGGAAACGGTTTCTCACCGCCTCGGGGTGAAGCAGGCAGATCATTCCTGCCCAGACCCCTCTCAACGCAGAGCCGAAAGAGCCACAGGCCCGAAGAAACAGACTTTGAAGAGCCCGGGGCGAGGTTCCCGCTGCAAGGTCTTGTCTGCAGACACCGAGAGGCCGCGCGGCAGGGCAGGCCGCCCGGGGGACAGGCAGGCCTTCGGTCCCGGCGCGCTGGCGCAGCGTCCGAGCTCTGCGGTCGCGGGGAAAGCACAACGCGCGAGGCCCAGCAAGGACGCGTCGAGCTGTTTTTCTGAGGCATTTTCAGAAGTTCACGCGCACGTGCCGCGGTCTCGTCGGACACCATCACACACACGTGTCTTAGGAAACGGCCGCGGGAGAACTCGCTGCCCCAAACACCCCGCGCGGGGGGGAAGCAAACTCAGCAAAATGCACCCTAATACATGGCGAGAGAGCTGGTCCTGGGGGTTCATACCTGGGAACGAATAAGCAGTCAGGACGGGGTGGTGCGTGGTCGCCCTCAGCGGCGGCCTCACCTCCCGCCCCCGCCCTCATGCCCGGGCGTCACGCTCTGGACCCCACCCCGCCCCGCCAGGACACTCCCGCGAGCTCACGCCACGGCGTC